GGTAGGTGTACAAAGTTGTCTTTCATTTGTGTATTAAAATATTGAAAACTTTCTAAAAATATGTTGTAAACTCACATATATATTCATGTTTAGCGCAGCACTATGCTGGGCATTAGTGATGGCGAGATGAAGCTTCATAAAGCTTTGAAGCGTTCCATCCAATTGGTTCACTCGTGTGTTGAAGCTTCATGGTGCTTCATTTGCTCTGTTCTGCCCCCTGGTGGACAATAAATGTAAACCGTACAGCGTGGGGATCGGCGGTTAGCATAATGGACGGATGGATGTTTGTGATGCCTATACATGAATTATAAACTTTTAGATGATGTCTGTCTTTATGATACAATGACAGGGAAGCTCGAATAGATCGCTCACAAACTCGTAATTAAGTCCCAAGTCCACAAAATGTGAGGGGGGGGATTCATTGCGTTTTGCTGGCCCTTATTTTTCAAATAGACCGCCAAACCGCGAACCACTTCCTGAATCAGTCACGTGGTACGGCCGGTTTGCGAGGCTTCAAACGTCACCGCATACGTCACCGACACAAGCTTCGATACGCGCTTCACAGAAATCATCAGGGGTTTCTCGACACGCGCTTCGAAGCCTCGATACGAAGGGACACATTACTACTGGGCATTTGTCTCCCACATTGGTTACACCCTTCAAGTTTTCTTTATCAACGTGTTTTGTTTTTTTTTCCTTTCGGTTGGTTAGGGTGTTTGGGGAGAATCCGGAGCCTAGGAGCTGCTGTACTTAAAATGTTCTTGTTTTGAACAGGTATGTGTGTTGTTTCTTAAATTAATTAATTTAGTATATTTCTATGTTATGGTGGAAAATTGTAATTATAGGGCAGATTATTTCTGTTTAGGTTTTATTTTAATTGTTTTGTATGACTGTAGATTTATTTTATTATTGAATCAGAGAATTTTAGTTTTGTTTAATGCATTTCTGTCTGAGTTCGCGCCGAGCTGCGCTGAGGAGAGGGTGTTTGGGGAGAATCCGGAGCCTAGGAGCTGCTGTACTTAAAATGTTCTTGTTTTGAACAGGAATAAAGTTTCCCTGAATCCTGAATCCAATGTGGTTCACAACCGTTACACTTACAGACATTGACGTGCTTCGTAGCTTGGAACTTGGTATGGAAGAATGTGGAAGGCCATCACTCAATACTTCATGGGAAAACAAAGCTGTCAAGGATGTCCTCTCTAAGGGTGAAGATAGTGAACTGGCACTTTGTGTTGTTCAGCTGCTCATGGCACACTTTGGAGAGGACCTAACTGGGCTGATCCTTCTTGCAGATGTAAGTTTTCTTTTTCCTTTCTCTGTTTTATAATTATTTACCTTTTTTTAATTTTATTTTGTCTTGAGAATCTTGTATGTGGGTACTTGTTCCCTACAGGTGTCTGCCCTACAGTGGACGTTGAGACAACTCTCAGTCTTCCCAAAAAGTCCTCGCCTGATACTTCATGGTGTACATTTCATTTAGATTAATTGACACATAAATTATATGCCATGCTGGTCATCTTGAGTTTACAAATGTTGACATACAGTGAGATACAATTTCATGTTGCCATGACTTGAAGTTTCAGGTGCAACAGGTAGGAGGATCACTCTTGAGGGCCGTGTAATCTCTGAGGGCATCACACCCACATTTGTAACAGGACTTGCTGCTGTGTTTGCAATCTACTACATATTCAACCTTCAGTAGAAAGATGAGGCAGCCAGTATTTTGGAATTCATTCAGAGGTAAAAACTCCTTTATTCCTTGTCATGATTAAAAGTATTTTGAAACCACAACACGCACTCACACGCACACACGCATGCGCACACACAAATTATATTAAACATAAGGGGACAATAAAAGTGGTCATTATTCCATCCATAGTGCTCACGTTGAATACACCAGAGACTGAAAATGTGGCAGATGCAGACGATGTGAGTGACACTTCCAGTTCCACTTCAAAAACTTTGACTTCACAGTCATCCTCTGGTTCTGCAGAATACCAGTCAGATGGCACATCATCAATGTCATCACACTTTTTTTTAAGCCCTGGAAGAGCATTGTGGCCAAGTGAAGTTGAGATTCCGCTTGTTTCAGTTGCAGCAGAGGCAGTACTCAGGAATGTGAAATAACAGTTTTGAAAGATGGCACTGTCCTCAACAACACCCGGGAATAATGGAGAAGCTGGCAGATTACATGTACAGTTACACTTCCTATCCCACAGGCCTTCAGTTGCACAGATTGCAGAAGCCTTGGTCCAAAAACACCCATGTCTAAAGGAACCTGGAAGTCACAACGGGTGGATTGGATGGATGTACTGCTTAAAATACAAAATGGGGAATTATAGGTCCAAGTTAAGAAATCTTGGATTTCCTGAAGTCACGTGCAATTCTCTTAAAAATAAGCGTCCTGGAGAGAGAAAACCAGCCCAAAAGGTTTTAAAAAAGGATGCAAGGGGGAAGTGATGAATCTCCCACATTATCCCTCAGGAGAAAGCAGTGAACAACAAGAGCAACAACGACTCAAAATCCTGAATTAAAGAAGAGAGAGAGGACGACAGTCAATGCATTGATGTCCAACACTTTTGCTCATAGAAGACAGTCTTCAACTGAGCATCAAAGAGATCAAGGAAAGGTGGTCTGCCCTGTTTGACGTGCCACAGGTGAGAAATAAAATACAGTTTACCACAAATGCACCTTACTTGGGCAGCTTGTTTCAATCTAAGTATGTAAATTGGGCCCTATCCCTGTTTGTTTTTTTTTCTTTTTTCAGATCAACACTGAGTTCCATCGAACTGTCACTGTAAATCTTGAGGCCAAATTCATGTTCATGTTGGACCACTACACTCCTAAACTGCTTGGTATCTTTCAAGCCAAGAAAGGTGCTGCTGGACAGAGGCATCGTGCAGAGATGAATATTCGACTCCAGGTATTTTAGTTTTCCCCACCTTTGTTGTCACCACTGTTTTTTTAACTATCTCTGTACTCTTGCATTCAATGTGACAAGTATGATACAGATCCTTATGTGTGGTTGAATGGTTCGTCGATTTGTTGGTAATGCCTCGGGGCTCCAGTAGGGGGCTCGTGCTCCTCTTCCTCATCCAATACAGAGAGTGAAGAAGAGCCACGTGTGTGTTTTCCTCATCCTTCTCCTGCTACTATTCCCTTTTTAAGGTAATTACCGTGTGCAAAGCAGCATTGTAAATTTATGAACATGTGTAGATAACATTTTTCTTTATGTTACTCGGGCTTTAAATGAATGGAAAAGACGTTTTGTTGAATTTATTTGTTGTTTGGTTTATTGCTAACGCTAACGTGTAAGCTAGCAGCGGGATACCTCGTGGCCACGCCCTGGAGTGTGAATGTTGACATTCGTGTTTAAGCTTGTTCCTGTTTCATATATATATGTGTATATATAAATATATTTGTGTCTAGTTCATGTCATAATGACGAAAATGAATGAAGTCAAGTTAAAAAACATTTAATTTCTTAGCTTGTTGAAAGTATAATTTACATGTTGTGTTTATTCAGTCAAAACGATCATTTTGATAATTTAGAACATGTTTGTGGTCCTAAAGCTGGGTGTGCGTATCTATACATTTGCCTGTTGTTTGTATGCATTGTTTAAAATAAGGATTCAATACAGACGAGTGAAGGAAGTGCCGCGTGTGTGTTTTCCTCATCCTTCTCCCGCTACTATTCCCTTTTTAAAGGCACAACATCAACACATGATCATGCTGTCTTTATTCGACCACAGTGTTTCTCAATCAGCTACATAGATCATTTTAGTAAATCGTACATGACGTACGCTGATATTAACACCACAATCTACACCAGATCCTGCGCGAGTTTGATAAATGAGGGCCAATGTGAGTGTATTCTGAGTGGACTTTTAAAAAATATATCGCATGACAAACATGACTTCAAGATTAAAGTGACTCCAGATAAGGACTGTATACCATGATGAATTTTCATAAAAATTGCAATAATTTACCAACTGCATCATTAAATTGTTTCATTTTGGCAGTGTAGTCAAGTCTATTATATTTGAAGTGAAACAGCCTAATTGTGCACTGAGAGTGACTGCTGTATCTTGCCAGCTGTTAATGATTTTTTTCCCTTCTTAACAGAGTGGAATTCCCATTAATAAAACTATGATGTCTAGTTGATCACCTGGGAGAAGATGTGAGTGCCTTAATCAAGGGGTTTGAGGTGAGTGCAATAAAAAGAAATGGCTTTCACTGTTCTCCGTACAGTAATAGAGGAAACACACAGTCAGCTGCGCTTTGTCGTTTTGTGTCTATTGGAAATACTGCAACATTGCTCTGGTTGCTTATATCAAATCAAATTGGCAAAACCTACAGTAATTCACCAAATTCTATGTAAATCTAAAATAATTCCATTCAATTCAAATCTGTTTATTTATATAGTGCCATTTTACCACGCTTCAAATCAATACTCTGTAATACTCTGCTTAGTGGAAGACAATACTCTAAATGCAATGTCCGATACACCGAGTGTGACCCATTTATTTTAACCTTAGCACAGGTAAAACATATTTCAATCATTTTAGTAGTTTCTGACTGTTGGTTTAAAATTACCACACTGACAGGGTCAAAAAAACATTTGCTTCTAGGGGTGGGAATCTTTGGGCACCTCACAATTCGAATATGATTAAAGGACTACAATTCGATTATAAAATGATTGTTGATGCATCTTTAATTTATTCATATTGATGCAGCTCTGATGCGCTCCCCATAGCATCCCGAAGAAGACATGCACCGTGCTTCAGTTCCGCATTAAAAAACACTCTGTATTACTTTATTTAACAGATTAATAATAGAGATGTGGATGTTTGAGAATTGATTCAGAGCAGTGTCCTGGTCACTTGTGGCTTACTTGTATTCTTTTTTTAAATCATAATACCCAGCCTAGTGGCCAAACATAAAAACTACACATTATAGTGTTAATAGACATGTACAGCAAAGTCGAGATGACTTAATTTAGAGTGATGAGAGTGATGACTCCTCACGTTCTGAAGATTTGAGTGTGATCTGTCATGGTTTAAATGCACAGAAAATCTTTTCAGATAGTATTGATTACAAGTTCCAAATGATATGAACAGCCTTGACCCAGATATGCACGTTTACCAAAAGGAAGGAATTGTTTACATTACACGGAAGATACACTCAATCAAAAAATGTCATTGGTGCCCTTTAATAGCAGGAGTCTACACTCAAATTTTGAAAACATTAAAGATTATTAAAATCAATTTAAAACACCTTTCAATTATTTAACTTAGGGGTGTCAGAATCCAGTCCTCGAGGGCCGCTGTCCTGCAGGTTTTAGACATTTTCCTGCTTCTACACACCTGATTCTTATTAAATTGGATCTCCTCTGGACATTGTTGAGCTTTGCACCTG